ACGGCATAGTAATTACCTCCATATATAATGATGCGGCCCCCAAGGGGGTCGAACGGCCTCTATATTACTACTGTAGCCCAAGGAATAACTTTGTAGTTGGGCTTAAATGATGAACGAAAAACAAATTTGTGCAGGAAACATAAGGGATATAACCGTCATGTGCATGCCTGCCATGCTACCAATGATGAAACGTGGAAATGAGGCAATTTGGTCAAAAGTAAACTTCTATTTAGAGATTGTCTGCCAAAAAGACAAAACTTTCCTTCCGATAGTAACTCCTAGTTATAAAGGTTGCATAGAAAGAAACGCAACCTCGGAATTTCCTATGAAATCCACTTTGCAATTCTTAAGTCAAAAAGATTTTAAGTCCGTGGGAATGGAAATTAGCCTACATCTGACAAGGCCCTTAATTGAATTTAACTGTTGTTGTACTGTACTTGTAAAATTAAAACTTATTAACCTTCTTTATTATAAACGATTTTATAGGGATTATAAACACTTTAGTCAAGATGAGTATCTACATGCATGATTTAATGCATACTAACTATAATAATAAACTCAACAACCTATATAAAAAATAGTCTAAATCAAGTAACCAAAGATGTAATTGATAGAATACATGAACTAACTGATAAACATGCGCCGATTAAAGAAGTACCACGAAGTAAAGCAAAGCAATTTTCTAAGCAGTGAATCGCAAGTGGAATTCTCAAATCAATTAAAACTAAACAAAAAATGTACTGTATAGTAGTCATTTGTTTAGCAATGATATAGAAAAAATAACGATTTATAAAAAAAATTCTAATAAACTTCATAAAATCAAATCTACGAGTAAGGTTAATTTATTTACTACAATGCACAATTTGAAAAATGTAAAAATAATTTAATTAAAGGCTACGTAGAAATGTATAGGTACTTTAATTAAGAGAACATCTAAGGGCCAATTCTATCCTACCCGCTTGATTTGAAATAATCAAACATTTACAAACAGGTGTGAATTTGTTAGCCAGTTTAACCAACATTTTACTGACGTTGGTCCGAATTTGGCCAGTTCATTAGAAATATCTAATGAAAACCCGACTAGGTAGATATCAAATTCACCATCTTCAAGTTTCGTAATGTCACCCGTAATAGAAGCTCAGCGGATACTTGAACTATTTTTGGCTTTGGATATAAACAAGGGTTCTATTAATATTCCGAATGCAATGATACAAATGGCTGCTCCTATAATTGCTCTCGCGTTTACTGTTTATAATGAATCAATCAATACAGGAAAAGTTCTTGAGAGATTAGTATATAATCAATTGCAACTATTGCTTCAAAAGAAAAATGATTATCAATTCGAATTTAGAAAGGGTTACTCAACTGAGCAAACTAAACATCACGTGTGGTGTACCCCAAGGATCCACACTTGGGCCAGTTTTATTTCTACTCTACATAAATGATATGCCAAATTGTGCTAAAAAAAAACTTTCGTTTCGAATTTTTGCTGATGATATCAATGTATTTTACTCTGGAAAATCTATTGATGATGTGGAAAATGTGATGAATGATGAACTAGAAAGAATTTTTCATTATTGTGCGGTTAATAAATTATCAATCAATTTTAAACAGACCAATTTTATGGTAATAACCTCTCAAAAGAAAAATATTCGAAATATAAGGATAAGGAACTTTTAACAAAAGGATTATATTAAGTATCTAGGTATATACATCGATAAGAATCATACTTGGGACTATCAGATTAAGTGTGTCAACAGTAAACTTGCTAAAAATATTGGAATCATAAATAAACTTAGATCATGGCCAGAAATCACGGATATGATTATTCCACTTCCTTACAATTTGCATATCATTAATACATAACCCGTCGAAATATGGTTTCGGTAATAAACCCATAAATTATATTACGCGATGCTTAAAATCGCAAAATCAGAAATATTGGCAGGTCGTTTGCAATTTGCCTCGATTGTTGGTTGCAGAACACGGTCTGTTGAAAGATATCGTGTAGTGTTCGCCTGGTGTAAGTTACTGCCTACTCTGCATTTTCGTTTGTTTCTAGTGGCAATAGTGCGGTCTTCTTATAAAGTTATATAGAGTTTAATAGACATATTCCGTACGAACTAACCTCTGTACAAATACTGAAAATGCAAAATAGTCACTGATTAAAATCAAGTCAACATTACGCTAATTACTTCGACAGACTTTGATTTATAGCCAGCGAATGACGTAAGTTGCAAACTACCCACCATATTCTCTAATTTTGGTATTTACAGCACCGCGTAATATAATTTACGGCTGTTTACTACAGAAGCCATATTTCAACGTGATATGCAAATTACGAAAGAAGTAGAATAAATGATGTCCGTGATTTCTGGCCATGATTACGTTGATTTGAAAACGCTTATTAAGCAATTATTCACTGATCTATCCCTATATAAATTATGGATTGATGATTTGGGGAAACACTTATACTTAGAGTCTATGAAAGGCCATTTTGCTGGACTTTGGGGACGTTTTTACAGAATTCTGATGGTCAGAAAACAGCGTTTTAATATGCCGAAATTTACAATTTGCTTGCAATTTAATAGTACTAAATGGGCGAAGGAGTATTTAATTAATTATATATTGGGGAAGTTGCAGGAAAGTATGGGTAATATATGATTCCCTGCAATTTGCCATGGACAATGTAGCCGCTTAAAATTAATCAATTGTCAGTATTTTAAAGGTACACTATGTACTATCTAAAGCACGCGTAGGAGTGTTTATCAGATATAAAACGCGAGGCGCAGCCGAGCGTTCTATATCTAATAAAACACTCCTACGAGTGCTTTAAATGGCTTCAATCACGACTACAAAAGAATACTAATTAGGATGAACCATTATATAATCATATTAACTAGGACGAGTTTTATCAGATATAAGGTTACTCCACGTGACATGTTATGGCTGACATAATTTGCCACAAGAATTATGAATTATTAATGAGTGATTGAATTAAATGATAAAGATCTGCATGAATTTGAAAAAAGAATGATTATTAGGAAATTAGGGCTGCGCATCCCTCAGCCCCCCCCCCCCCATTGCTACGGCCCTGAGAAGTGATAAACCAACGATTTGTTAAATGTTATCCATGTAAATGCCATGATTTCGTAAATCAGTTTATACTGACAATACAATTATATTATATTTTCTCTGTTTCACAACGAAACTTTTGTTATACTATTATTGCCATAATTTTCCGAATGGCCAACCTGATCTTCCGAATATGATAATTCTAAAAAAGTTGGGGGTTAACCACCACCCCCCCCCACCCAAAAAAAAAAAAAAATCCCCCTCGCTACAGCCCTAAAATTCTAGCAGAAACAAATTATGTCCCGACAGTATTTGCCAGTAGTATATTGAGGTTCCATCCGCTCAACACTCTCATAATCCCAGATTTGCTAGCAGACATAATCTAAGTAGACCAAAAGCACGAACTAGTCATGGAATACAAATATTTAAATTTATTTCATCACAAATTTGGAAGTCTGTTAGTTCTGAAATCAAACGATCAAATTCAATGTCAATGTTTAAAATAAGATATATTCAATTTCTAATTATTTCACAAACACACCCCTTCTAATTCCTTGAGGGAATAATATTGTATTTAATTTGTCATATCTATATATATTGTTAAACTTTTTCTAAAAATGTTTAATGAGACAGTGATCAATTCGAAAGCTTATTGCTACTTTGATCACTGCCTGCAATATGTATTATTTTTTTTCTTTCTTTTTCAAGAATATTATGTATATATCTTATCTAATTGTCTTTAAAAAAATTGTGTGTATAAAAATTATACGAATGTCATTAAAATTCTAAAAACAAATTCTAATTAAATAAATTCATCAATTTTGTTTTATGCACTCGCGCCCTTTTCTTAATCTTTTTACTCTCACAGGGGCATGTTTATCCAGCACATCTACAAAAAATGTTTTCCATAACCGCCACATTTCATCTACATTTCTTTTAAATCTTATTTCTTCCCAGGGTATATTTTGTAAGTTATATAGAAAGCCTGAAACATTGAAATTCTTAAAATTTCTATACTCAACAGAACCTTGTAAATCAGTTTTTATTCTTGTATTTATTTTCCGAATACTATAAATGAGGCTGTGATCACTAATTCCGAGATGGACTACAGCTGAAAAAATTATTTTTTCAGGCATTGACGCAATTACTACATCCAATAATGATTGGCTAGACTGGGTAATACGCGTAGGGTTATTAATTAATTGTGTAAGCTGATATAATTCCAAAACGTCTTGAAGCTTTCTAGTGGGGACAAAGTTGGTTCTAGCATATTAAAATTCAAATCTCCCAAAATATAAAATTATATATTTTCATCATCAATTGATTTGATTAGCCTTTCAATTTTTATAAACACTTCACTAGCGGAACATGGTGGTCTATAAATACTTGAAACTATAAAAGATTGACTATTAGCCTGTTTAATTTCCACACAGACAGCTTCAAGGCCTGTTGGAACTAGATCAGGGCGATTTTCATAATTTATATGGCGTCTTATATAAATACATACCCCTCCTCCATTTCTATTCCGATCAGCACGTAGCAAGTCATAACCTTCAATGCTAACAATCCCATCGGAAATAGTGGAGTCCAAACGGGTTTCATTAACTGCTAAAACATCTAAATATTTATCGTGAAGTAATAATCGGATTTCATCAAGGTGTTTCGGAAGGCTAACTACATTAAGCATAGCCATCTTAAAACCCCTTGTTTTCGGAATATTTAAACAGGCATCATTAGCGCTCCTCCTCGACCCGTCCTCATTTCAATTATGCGAACTTAAGAAATATGAAAAGTTTGCCTGAAGCAAAGAGCTACCTTCTCGGTTTAAATGCAGTCCTCTACTATTTAAATGACAGCGACTAATATTACTATTGTCTAAAAATGCAAGCTTTTTCTTCAAGCAGCTTGACTTTAATATATTGTTGGTTTCATTTACCTTCGTTGTAAGTTCCTCTCTATCGCATCTAGTGACTAAAGAAGAGATGATGACTTCAGTATCATTGCAATCCTTTTTAAAATTCTCTGCTAACTCGATAATTTTCTTTGCAATTTCTTTAGGACTTGAATAGCGTATGTCGTTTGTGCCTGCATGGATAATGAGCTTATCGGGTTGCTTTCGTGCAGTGGGCTTTAAGAAATCAGACATATCGTTAACTGTTGCACCTGAGAAAGACTTAACTATTACGTTTCTGTCAGTGTTGGATACTTCCCAACCTTTTACATATTTTATAATCGAATCTCCAGCTATAACGACAGTTTCTTTAGTGCGTTGTCTTTCTGCTGTTATTTCCTCACTTGCCTTATGCGCTTCTCTCGTTTGCTCGTTTTCCTTTGCCTTTTGTTCGTTATTCTTCACCTTTTGTTTCTTATTCTTATTCTTCTTTTGTTCCTGGTTAATCTGCTGTGACCTCTGCTTGTTGGCTTTCGATTGAGCAGCTTTGTCATCAGATTCGCTCATTTGATTCTTACCAAAGCCCTTTTGTTGAAGGCTTAATTTCTCTTTTGTTTTTGTCGTGTTAGGAATTTCAGCAAAACAGCCATGTTTTGGATCTTTGCGTCGTTAATTACAAAATTATCAATTTCCCAACATATATATATATATATATATATATATATATATATATATATATATATATATATATATATATATATATATATAGGCGAATGTCAATAAGTATATTGAGTGTCGAATCATACGAATAGAGTGCTCGTTACGAAGGTAGAGCAAATGAAAGACAAACTTGAGTTACTTCGTTTAAAACATTTATTCACGACAAATTTGTTTCGTATGGCAAACTAAGCTTGCCACACTCATCAGGTGAATGATAAACCATTATTTGTATATCATTCACCTGATGAGTGTGGCAAGCAAATTTGTCGTGAATAAATGTTTTAAACGAAGTAACTCAGCTTTGTCTTTTATATATATATATATATATATATATATATATATATATATATATATATATATATATATATATATATATATATATATATATATATATATATATGTATATATATATATATAATTTCGCTTACCTCAAAATTCCGCAACAGTCTGTTTCATCAGTAAAGGATCATCAGGCGGTGTAAATCAGTAAAAGATCATCAGATACCGCCTGATGATCCTTTACTGATGAAACAGACTGTTGCGGATATATATATATATATATATATATATATATATATATATATATATATATATATTTTTATATATATATTATACATAATATAAGCTTCAATTAAAGGTAAAATTCAACCACAACGCTTCCCTAAACGTTTTAAATTGAAGTGTTCTTTATAAATGTAAACTGCCTTTAATAATTAAATGGCTTTATCGATAAACTTTGAGTTTGCAATAAAATTATTTCAAATTGCCGTATGAAAATAACTTTGCTTCCTTTTGTTTTAAAAAATCAATATAATCAAAAAAGGGAATCAATATTAATAATACACTGAAATTATATGCTGTCTTGTTTAGTTGTTTCATATACACAAAGGGCCAAAGGCCGTCGGCAAATATAAAATAAATATTTAAAACAAATTTACCTTCGTTAACGTCTGCACCCTTGTTTTAGTCGGTTCTTTCGCCCTTCTTTCTGAGAAAGCCTTTGAAATTTACGAAATCTTGCGAAAATGCGAGCAAAATTAAATATATTTGCAAGAAATTGATCAATCATCAAATAAAGAAATGTTCACTATTTTGCTGTCGTCATGCAGTCGTTATAATGGAAACTTGAAATTGGACCAATCAGTGTCCGTTATTCATGAGAGTCCGGCATATTTTTGAGATCAGTGAGGATAACCACACACCCAACACTCGAACAAGATAAGATAAGAACTTATGATAAGAACTCTGTCGAAAAATTTCCGCCATTTGGTCTTTCAGATCATAATGTTGTGATTGTCAATCCTTGCAAAAGAGAACCCAAGTCATGCAGTAGAAGAATTATCTCCAGGAGAGATTTACGATCTAGTAAAAGGCATGAGCTTGGAAGATACCTTACATCTATCGATTGGTCCTCTCTGAATCATTTTGACACATGCGAAATGAAACTCCAGTATTTCGAAGAGTTAGTACGTCTCGGTATTAGCACCATTATGCCAATAAAGAAAACGGCTTTGCATGTACACGATCCTCCATGGATTACTGCAGAATTTAAAGAGCTTATAAGGAAGCGTCAAGCTGCCTTCTGCGGTGGAAATACCTTTCAGTTCAAGTATTACCGGAATCGGGTTAACCGCGAGCGAAAGACATGCCGGGCGAAATTCTACTCTTCAAAAGTAAAGAATCTTAAATCGACCAAACCGAGGAGATGGTGGAAGGAGGTGAAGCAGATTGCTGGTATGGTACCTACAACCGGCTCCGATGACCTATGTAGTCAACTTCATTTAGACGATATCGAGAATATGCAACGTCCTGACATTGCGAATTTAATTAATAACAG